AAACTATCCATATAATTAATATAAATTTTTATCTTGTGCACGAACAATATGAAGAAAAAAATCTTGCAATTAAGATAAACTGTGAGAGGATATTTAGGTGTAGCTCTTACCTGTTGTCACTGTCAGATTGACAGCAGGTCACCACATTGCTGTTGATTATACCAAATCAATCAGAAGGAAAGAGGAGACAAAAGTAATTGAAGTTCAGCAATTCAGAGACATCTGAAGGAGAAAATATCTAAAACATTCTGTTTTCTATACACATTTATATTATGTATGTATTTAATGTAATTCTGATTCACAAATTCCTCACTCAGAAATGAATGTTTTTTGCATGGCATTACAAGAATACAATTGGAGAAACATATTTCATTTATATATTTGTGTTCTTTTATGCACTTCTGCGTTTTAGGGGTGGATATAGCTCTTAATCTCCCATGTTGTTAATGAGTGGCTTGGAAAACCTGTCAGGATAATGCTCTTTACCCGTTAGTAGCTGAGTATGCAACTCAGGCATAATCCTGCTTGCTTTTGGGTATTGGATTTTGTTTGTTGGCTTCTTTCTTTTCTTTTTTCTTAGATGCTTACACAATTTGAATGCATGAGATAAACAGGAGTTGGTAGAAGCTTACAATATACAAGCAGAATAATCCATAGCAAACGCTATACAGGTTTTCTGTTTACTTTTAATCATGAAATACACATCAGGAAGGACAGGGAGGCTGAAATAAAAGGAGAGGAAAGGTGATGTGTCTCATAGACAGCGTGTTACTTTAACTTAGAGACAGAACTAAAGAGACTGAAGACTGAAGGCGTCTCCAGACATCTAATGAAAGTGTTAAGAGAGATGCCCAGCTGAGGGGCACGGTCATCCCAGAGGGTACGAGTTAGTGGCTCTGCATCTCTTTATACCAGCAGGGTCTTTCCTTAGGAGGCTCTGCTTTACCAGGCATATCTTCTTGCTAGCCTGGATTGTCTCGAGTTACCATATACTTAATCTATGTTCCACACCTTCAAGAAAGTCCCTGTCTCTTTTTTGGTATAAACTAATAACATTTTTCTCAGACAAACCATGTGAAATACTCCGGAAATGTATTTCAAAATGATCAAACTAAAGCACACGTGTGAGTATTTTTAAAAATATAGAATTATATTTATATGTACACGTGTGTGTCTGCTCTGTTTGCTGCACACACAAAGACAAGTGAACTGATTATGTAGTCATGGGCTTTCTGCATTTCTGCAAGTCATCGGTGTCTTGAAAGCTATTTAGTGAAACATTTGTATGCATTTACAGAGGAGTAATAACTTTTTTTTTTTTTTTTTTTTTTTTTTTTTGCATTTAGACAGACCTTATTCAAGAGTTTAGCCAATTTGAATACTGTATTTAAGTCTTCAGTCAACTCTCAGGCCAGAGATTTTATGAATTTTAATATTATTGAGCTTGGAGTCCTGGCCAGTGCAAAATGGATTTTAGATGTGTTAGATAATATTGCTTTAGAAGTAATCATGAAACAGTACATTTGGTCTTTTGGGCATATCAGTTTATGCAAATTCAGATTTGTAAATCATTAAAATCTCTCTGTGAAAGTAATTTTTTATTTCTTTGACTGTTCAATACTTTTGTACCTGATCTACCCTGTCTTGGCTATGATGTGCAGTCAAATGAGCATAAAGCTTTTGCTATGTCTGTGTCACATTATTTCCAAAGGTGCCTGAAAAAAATAGCCTCAGCTTCTTGGAGCATCAGAGCAGTGTCTGAGCAGTATTTACATTTCTAAACAATGAAAATAATGCTTCCATACTATTTTTGGACAAAAGGATATCATATTCATGGTTCTTTTTAAATTATTCTTTTATAAATTACTTTTTCACTTCTTTGTATTGCATTATCATACCTGCTTATGTAGTTCCTGATCTCCTGTTGAAGACTGCTGAGGTGAATTTCTATATTATCCCCTTCATTTCAAAAGCTGTGTTAGAAAGAAAAAACAAAGTAATAGACATGAGTCGATGAACTGCTATCAACAGAGGCACCCTTTTAATTACAATTACATACTTCTATATTTAATAAAACCGGCCACACGTACCTGATAACAAACAGAGTTATGGAAAAGCAGTTTTGAAGATCTCTCCAAACTGCACAGAGGGCCATGTATGTCTTGTTGGCTCTGCTAGCTGGTCCTGAGACAGGGAATGTGCAGAAGTGATGCATTTATATGTTTTTAATTATGTTGTTCATTCACATGATATAAGACAACAAATCCAGATAGGATGTAAAATATCCATGCTGATTCTTATCATTTTAAAGTTCCTGTTTCTTTAACTGAATTACGTTTTTTCCTTTTATTCTAAGACATTCTCCTCCAATATAATGACATGCAAACTTCAATCCCAGAATCGCTTATCAGAACCATGAATTTTTCATAAGTCACTAATGCTTGATTTAAAAGAAAAATAGACCTGAAGTTTGAGCAGGTAGTCACAGTTGTAGAAGCGACGGGTATTTTGATAATACTCCAGTTTTGATTAGGTGCAGGACCCCGTTGCTGCAGTGTTAGCAGTCATCCTCAGAAAGCCCTGAAGGGGATGAGAGGCTGAAGTTTCTTACTGCCGGATTCGGGAACATGACGTTTTGCCTTTGAATCCTAGCTCTGTCACTCAGCTGCTGAAAGGCTCAAGTTGTCTATAGCACTCAAATAGAAATGCGTGTGCTTAATACCTTGTTGGGTTGGAAAAACGGGAGTGAGTCTGGCCAAAGGGCTCCTGCTTGGAGCCGTCCCTGTCAGTACAGCTCTTCCTTTGGGTAGGAGTTAGGAGAACAGGAGAGCTGCTCTGCTCTTCTTCGCCCTTCTCCCCTATAAAGAGATGCTGTGTGTGCGAGGGTGTTTGTTTTGAATCAAATCCACCAGTGTGCTGTGCTGCTGGGTCTGCCCTTCCACCTAGGCAGCAGCTTTGCCACGTACGCTGCTGGACGCAGAGCTGCTGCTTCTCCCCCTGGCATGGTTCGTTTCCCATTGGGTGGTGTATGGAACTTCTAAGAAGGAGAAAATAATTAGTATGTTTTGTTTAAGTAGCATGTGTTATTAAAATAGCTCAATAGTAACACAGACGAGAAATCCAGAGTGTTATTACAAGGTAGATGACACTTGTAGCTAATTTAAGCACTTGTGACTTTTTTTCTTGTTTTATGAACTGCTCTGACAAAAATACTGTTTCAGCCAGCATAACAGATTACACTGGGGCAGGGGATCAGAGTCAAGTATTTTAACTGGAGTCTAATTAGGCCAAATCATTTGGTGAGCATTGACAATTTTAGTTACCATGCTGAGAGTGAAGTAATTAAATCTCATGCTTCAGGACTGAGGCCTGCAGCCCGACTGCTGCATTCAGTAAGAGCCTTGCTCAGGAGGGGTGAGGGCTGCTGACCACGTTACGGTGATATAAGAGACACTTAAATTGATAAGAGTGGTATCAGGTAAATGTTAAACAAAACAAAACAAAACAACCCCTCTTTGTGCAGTATTTAAAATTAGTTAGCTCTATTTTGGTGATTTTTTGTCCTTTTTAGAAAAAGGTACTTGACATTGTCAGAGGTCGATTTACAGCTATTGTTGGATTAGCCATGTTGGTCCATTTTCACAGTTATATACTCCTATAATTTATTGCTAGTATTGAAATAGCAAGCTGAATGTTTACTTAGTGATTTGCAAACGTCAACAAAATGATTTTCACCCACCCCCCGCCCCCCGTGAGGTGTGTTTAGGATTCAGCCCTTATTTGGAAGCTGGAAGTTTCAGAGCAGTGTGTGACCTGGCCCGAGCCAGGGAAGAGAGAACACCCGGAACCAGGTTTCAGACTTGGGCCAGAGAGATGGACGGAATAAGCATAAGCCAAACTAGGAACATTTGTTAGACCCTGGGCAGACTGATGGCTGCGCAAACCTCACTTGCACTTTAGTCCATATCTGATGATTGAAACTGAGTAATTTTTATTTTCACCAAAATGTTCCATTTTCCTAAAATGAAAGATTCCAAAGAGCCTGAAATTATTTATGGTTAGATTTCCAGAAGGTTGAAACATTTAATTCTGTTGCATTGATATTTCATTTCAAAGGCGATGGATCAATTTATGTGACATTTTGAAACAATAACTTAGACCATCTTATTTTGGAATTATGTCATCTTATTTTGGAATTATATTTTGCTTTAAGTTTTTAATTGCAAGCTGAAACATTAAAATATTGAGTAACCTAAGTACTTACAAAATACATATATTTTTAATTTCCACTTAAGCAGTGCACTTCAGGTTAACACAAAATCATACTTTCTTTCTTGTTCGTTTAATCCAAAAAGCGTTGTTCCCCAGGGTGTCAAAGTTTAGTCACCAAACTGAAGAGTCAGATCCGTTGAGCTCTGGTGCCAGGACACCCCGCGATGAACATCCCATAGCCCCAAACAGAAGGTGGACGTTTGTTTTCAGTTTACTTACTCACTTGGATAAAGATGGGACCTGTGCACCCCATGAAGTGAAGGAAAGCGTGGGCTACATTTGCCCACGTGGGTCCTGCCTTCTGCTAATGGTGTTTTTTGCAGTTCAGGTTGTGTGACTGACACCATGAGTCAGCTTTTTGAAAGAAACCATGTGAATCCTGGTTAAGATTAAGATGCAGGAATAAATTGTATATTAGATCTGACATATGGATTTGTAGTATGCTAGCCATTGTGGGGACAAATGATTACAAGTGCACGGCAGCAAATATAGAACATATAATAGTGGTAGCTGCCCGTTAATGAAGAGGAGTTATGCTGCAACAGACTTACACAAATATGTGCTAGGAATGTATAGCCTTGTTCACTCCAGAGTTATGTTCTCACCTAGCCCTGTTTCAGTATCTGCTGCTGTTCTTGTCTCTTTTTTAATGTCAAAACCTACATAAAGCTCTTATTTTGTTGTATATTCAGTATTTGAGAACAGACTGTTATTGTTTTATCTTTCAGAGCATGATGAATGTATCACAAACCAGCACAACTGCGATGAAAACGCTCTCTGTTTCAACACCGTGGGTGGGCACAACTGCGTCTGCAAGCCGGGCTACACGGGAAATGGCACCGTGTGTAAAGGTAGGATGTGGAAGCCCCTGCGCTCAGCAGCCTTTGAGCTGGCTGAGTTAATGCCAGTCTCTTCACAGACCTTGAGACAAAATACTAGACATTTTGGTTCCGTGCCTCTTCATGAGTGGACATAGGAACTTGGCAGTTCACACTTCATAGTAATTTGGGGATGTTGCATGTTGGAGATGCTGGGTGTGTTCTAAAATTTGGAGTAACTACTTTTCATTTCTCTCCCAAGTTAAGTTTCCGTAACTGCTACCCCATTCAAAAAACCCAGTGTTACCAACAAAATTACAGTTGTGCAAATATTGTCAAATCTGCATTTGCCACTGCCAGTCACTTGCTGTTTTGCTGGGAGATTGTTTGATATGCTGTGTCTCTCCATAGTAAATGAGAAAAGCAGAAAAGCAGGAGCTGCTGGGTATTTTCTAATATTTCCATTCACTGGTGAAGATTAAAAATATGTTAATAGTCTCAGATGTTTTTCTGGAGGTACAATGCTGCTTTTCTAAGTCCTGCTGTATTTTGCATCGGAGGAAGTAATACTTGGTAATTGGTCCCAAACTGTCAGAAGTCTTCAGACTCCGAGCACAGGATTTGAGAATATCTGACAGTACAGGTAGGTAGCACAGCTGTGAGTGAAGTGGCTCAGAAATAAGAAGTGATCTAGCTGCAGCAATAGCAAATGCAGCATTCTCTGAAACTGAATCTCAATCCCCCCATCTCTTGGATGCCAGAATCTAAGGGGACTGTATTCATAGATACATTCTGCTGCTGTGTGTTATCAAGGCTGCACATCCCTTGATTATACACAGCAACAGTTATCAAGGCTGAACAACCCAGCATTTCTTTAATCGATAAACCTAATTAAAATATTGGTACTAGCCACTCCTTCACCTTAGTCCTAGTATACTTATTTTTTTTCTATACATCCTAATATGTAAGAACTGCTTGTAAAACACAGTAGCATGCCTACTTGCAGTCAAACACGTGGCTAGAGGAAGAGAGCTGTCAGCCAATCCCCCTATTTATGCTGTTACCTCTTTTGGGATGTGAGAAAAAAACACCTCAGCCTGGGGAGGTTAAAATCCAGAGCCACTGTGCTCAGAAGAGCAACAAGTCTGTGCGGCTGAGCCCTGTGCCGTGCTTGGGAATAGTCCCCAGGCCTCCTGTTGAGGATGTGCTGCTTCACATGCAGGTAGTTGAGACTTTGGTTCGAGGAAGGGGGCCTTGCCATGGAGCAGCATTGAGCTCTTTCAATTCCGTGTAAGACCTGATGCAGATCTAATGTTTCACAGGGTCTTTGACCCCTCTGTAAGCGAAGTGTCCCTCCTTCCCTTCTTGATATTGAAAAGAGAGTATGAGGAGAAGGCTTTGAGACTGTGTATCCTGTTCTGAGAAAGGTGCTTCTCTGCAGCCCAAGCTTGGATGCTAGAGGCTTTCAGAGAACTGGATGCATCTCTTGACCACTATAGGTTCAGCAGCTCTCTGTGCCCCTGCAAACTGATCGATTCCAGGAAGCAGGTCCAGGAAGGTCCATTTGTACCAGGAACTTAGGTGTTCCACTCAATGCTGTGAGTCCTACTTCACAAGCATGGTGCCTCAAGACCGAGTTGGAAAGGCCAGCTTCATAACACTCATGTTCTCTCTTAGATCCACCTTTGGACCCCATCAGTGATGCTGCCAACCGTCCCCTCTTGTGGCTCTTTACAAATGCAGGGTTAACCCCAGTGCTCTTGGGCAGAATTTCACTCTTCATGTTGGTGATGAGCTGCATCCACTTAGTTTTGCCTTCAGACTTCCTCTTTAATTTCTTGTGAACACAGCATGGCTCACTCCAAAGTACAGATACACTCTGCCATGTACAAGCTGCCATGTTTTATATCCTAACTAGTTGCAATCATGTGTCAGCAGAAGGAATTTTTGCAGGCACACACCTATTGACAGCTGTGTCTAGATAATGTTCCACTTAAATATGTGAGCACAGTTTCTTAGATTTCGATGCAAGACAAAGAACAAATCCAAGGATGGACTTCAAACTAAATGGTCAAAGGGGTTAAAACCCCTTGAAGCAAAATTACTCTTTTTATTGTTTTGATCTAATTGCTGAATTTAGGAATCAGGTAGGCCAGATAATTTACTGCTTAATTGTGCCTGTTAAGTTCAGGCTTTTATTTGGGAAGCAGTGAAGAACAGCCGTGCCCTAAGCAGGGTCTGTTGCTATGGAAGATGTTCCCTTTCTCCGCTTCCCAGTGCATGGGAAGAAGCACATATGCGGGCTGTTTTCTTCAGATGATTTACTCTAATCTCCCTCTTCATCTTGTCAGACCATCTGGCCAATGAGGCAGGGGGGCTATAAACCATCTCCTGGTGACCTCTATCCTTAGGTGAAAGCAGCCTCTGTGCTCAGCACTACAGGACTATGTTTTGTGTCACTCTGCTAGAGGCCTGCGGACGCCTGCAAAGTTGTTGACTGTAATTTTGTTAATTCCTTCTTAATCATATATTGTGCTTTTTTTATTTCAGCATTTTGCAAAGATGGGTGTAGGAATGGAGGAGCCTGTATTGCTTCCAATGTATGTGCCTGTCCCCAAGGCTTCACTGGGCCCAGCTGTGAAACTGGTAAGATTATAATGGCATTTATGATGAACATAATCCTGGAGGGATGCTTGAGGTAATCCAAGAATAAAGGAATGTTTTAACTGTGTCCCTGAAAACAAAAGGAGCTGCCACTATGTTGCTCACTTTTCTTATATGCCTCCCAAGAGCATGTATTACAGTAGTTCTAATTAGCATCAGTGACCACAGAAATTAGAACTTGGATTACAACACTTTGAGTTCTGATATTCTATAATTAAGAAGATTATTATATACTTGCTTTTCATCTCAAATAGCCTTTGGTGTCTCCTACAAACAGCAGATAATATGAAGCCTAGAAATAAATCCAAAAAAACCCAGATTATTTCTGTGCTCTAAACTTGTGACTAGTTCACTAGCTGATCTTCTCTTGCATTCCTATTTAAAGACATCTTTGATTAACTCAGCAGTCTTTACTTACAGACAGATTTTAGTGTTCTTATTATTCTTCCTTTCTCTTACAGGAATTCATTTCTCTTCTTGTTAATCCTGAAAATGGCAGTACCACAGAGCCTAGTTTTAAAGTTTTATTTTAAATCTTGGTTCTATGCAAATTACAGGAGCAGGCACTCTGCCCAGCAGCCTGTTAGCATAGAATGTTAATATTTAGCATCTCAAGTGCTTGTAAATAATTTCTCAAAGTTCAAATGAGTAGTTTCACCACCTTTATTTATTACTGTAAAATTTTCAAATGCATTCTAACAGTACATGCCTTCAGGAGGCAAAGGGAAAAAGCTCTCTTAGATTAATTGGCTTCACTATGCCTAATAAAAGGGCAGTCTGCTACCTATGATTGACTATTGTTGCCATTCTATATTACCTTCAATAAATCTTACAAACAGAAGAAAGGAGGTCATTTCAGCAAGTATTGCTTTCATCTTACTTGTAAACATGTCCAATTTAATGAAAAACACAACCTGATCTGATTTCTGTATTCTCTGGTCCGTTTGAGAGGTGAAAAATATGATTGTTTTCATTCTTCTGTATTTGAATGGATGTTACTTCAATGTGTAAAGGGGATGTGATGTGAAAAGCAGCATCCTGATTGTTAATCTATTTCTAGAAAGCTGTCAAGAAGGCAAGTTTTCAAGTATTTCTCGCTATTTCACAGACTGGAAATGATGTGGTGCAGAATATCAGGTCACTTCACAATAGTGTTACGGTTTTAGTTGAAGACATTTTTTTGGGTGAGGTAATGCTGAAGTATAAAAATAGCTGCCTTATTTTAGTGGTTTGTCTTAAATGCTTCTTGCAGCTATTCTGCTGCTATCAACCAAGCAAACTGAGCACACAGTTTCTAGGCTAAGATTCATCTCTCCTAAATTTAATTCAGATGCAGGCCTAAAGTCAGGCTGAGTAGATTCAGGCCAAAATGACTTTCTTGTGCAGTTGTTAATGGTCTAACTGCCTTTCTCTTCTACCCTTCCTGAAATATATAGGAGGGTACAGCAGAGTTCACTGGCCCTGAATCTCTTTGGAAGCTTCACACAATGTTTTCTGAATAAATGATTTCAATATTTACCATCCAATTAGCATCACAGTTTTGACTCAGAGCTAGTGTAACCATTGTGATTTGGAGCCAGTGTGACAGCACCAAACCAGTTTTGTAGGTCCGTTTTGCTAGAAGAGGCTCATCTGTCATTCATTTATATACACATCATATACATCCACTAAGGAAAATCTGAGCTTTGGAGAGTTCACTCCAAGTGACTATGACAGTGTCCAGTTGTCATTAGGAGCAACTGATCAAGCCATTCATATTGCAAATAATTCATGGTGGAAGGTTCCCTTTTGAGCAGTTACTTTATCTCCAAAGACAATTTTACGCTTTCTAGGCAGACATCTTTAGTTGTTAACACATACAAGGAGGGAAAAGGATTGATTTAAAGATGTCAAATCTATTTTTAAATTACGTTACTTAGCTCTGTTTATGCCACACTATGTATATGAACTGGTTATTGAGGATTCTTGACATTTATAACTTACGAGAAAAAAATTATTTTCTTAACATTTGAATGGAATTTCCTGTTTTTTGATTTGTTCCCATCGACTCCTGTCCTGTCACTGGGCACCAGAGAAGAGTCTAGATCGATCTCCTTCACCTTCCCCCACAACCATGTACATCGGTAGGATCCCTCCTGAGCTTTTGCTTCTTCAGGCAAAACATCCCAACCCTCCCAGACTCTCCTCTTTCAGGTGCTCTGGTTCCTAAATTATCTTCATGGCTTTTTGCTGAACTTGTTCCATGTCTCTCCTTATGGGATAGCCCAAGACTGGAGCAAAACGTGGTCTCGCCAGTGCTCAGCAGTGGGGAAGGATGACCTCCGTCAGCCTACTGGCAATGGTCATCTTAGCACAGGCTAGGAGGTTGTTTGACAGAAGGGCACATTGCTGGCCGCCTTCAACTTGATACCTGCCAGGACCAGCAGGGGCTTTTCTGCAAAGCTGCTTTGCAGCCAGCCAGCCCCAGCCTGTGCAGGCCCATGGGCTTTTCCTTCCCAAGTGCAGGACTCTGCATTTTCTTTTGCTGAACTTCCTGATCTCTCCAACCTGCTGAGGTCCTTCTGAATGGCAGTGTAGCCCTCTGGTCTGTCAGTTGTTCCTCCCAATATTGGAGCATCAGCAAACCTGCCAAGGGAGCACTCTCACAGAATCACAGAATCACAGAATCACAGAATATTTAAGGTTGGAAGGGACCTCTAGAGATCATCTAGTCCAACCTTCCTGCTCAAGCAGGCACACCTACAGCATGTGGCACAGGGTGGCATCCAGGCGGGTTTTGAAGACCTCCAGAGAAGGAGACTCCACAACCCCCCTGGGCAGCCTGTTCCACTGCTCTGTCACCCTAACAGTAAAGAAGTTCTTCCTCACCTGGAGATGGAACTTCCTGTGCTCCAGCTTGTGGCCATTACCCCTCGTCCTGTCGCTGGCCACCAGTGAAAACAGCTTGTCCCCTTCCTCCCTGCATTGTCCCTTCCTGAACTTATACATAGTAATCAGATCCCCTCTGAGCCTTCTATTCTCCAGAGAAAACAGGCCCAGCTCACTCAGCCTCTCTCCATATCATTAATGAAGATGATAAACAGTATTGGCCCCAGTATCAACTGCTGGGAACAGCACTGGGAACTGGTCTCCACCTGGACTTTGTGCTGCTGATTGCAGCTCTCACCCTGACAGTTCAGCTAGTTTCTGAGATGTGTTACCTAGTGTGTTACCTAGCCCACTCTAGTCTATGAAGATGTGATGGCAATGTTGAAGGCCTTACTGAAGTCAAGGTGAGCAACGTCCACTTCTCTCCCCTCATCACTGAGCCAGTCTTCTCATCTTTGTCAAGCATGATTTCCCCTTCATAAATCCTTGCTGTCTACTCTCAATCACCTTCTTGTCCTTGACATATTTGGAAATGATATCCAGGAAAATTTGCTCCATCACATTCCCAGGAACTGAACTGAAGTGAGATTGACCAGCCTGCAGTTCCACAGTCTCCTTCTTGCAGATATTTGTGACATTTGTTTTCATCCAGTCCTCAGAAATCTCTCCCTGTCAAGAACTGGAAGCTGACATTGCAAGACTAATCCCTTAGCACATCCCATCAGGCCCCATGGACACGTGTCTTTCCAGTTTGTTTCAGTGTTCCATAACCTGCTCTATTCAGGGTATTTTTCCATGCATCTGCCTTTCCCACTCACCTCAGGGCCTTGGGATTGCTGAAGGCTGGTGTTACCAGTAAAGTCTGAGGCAAAGAAGACACTGAGCATCTTGGCCTTTGCCAAGTCCTTTGTCACCTGGTCTCTGTCTTTTTAAATACTGAACTAAGCCCACCTTCTTCACATTTTTATTTTATTTTATTTTATTTTATTTTATTTTATTTTATTTTATTTTATTTTATTTATTTTTTATTTGGCTGCTGAAAGATCTGTGGAAGCCCTTCTTGTTGCCTTTCACATCCCCCACCAGGCTCAGCAGCAGATAGGCTTTGGTTGCCTCACCCTGTCCTTGCTGCTTGACCACTTGACCAGTGCCTCTAAACTCTTCCTCAGGCTTTGGAGGGTCGATGCTGATCCCTGCTTAGGCCCTGCTTGTGGGGCAGGTGCCCAGGTTCCTTTGTCAAACCAGGGCATTGACTTAGATCGAGAAGAAACCAGAACTGGAAAAACTGGGGCTGCTGGTGTTCAGAGCACCCCTGAAACTCTTGGTGAGGCTGAGGCCAACAAGGCCTGGCCTGTTTCCTTAGCACAGTGTGGGTTGGGAAGATGCACCATTCATCAGTGAAAAGTGCATATGGGAATGGCTGGTGATAATAGACCAGTCCTTCTGGCACCAGTTCAGGTAAATCGTTGATGAAGTGTCTACAGCTGTTGGCTTAGAAGCTAAAAGATACAGCCTGGAAATTAGATTGGGCCGGAGGTGATGAGCCCAGCAACCCCTCTGAGCCTTGCAGCGGAGCAGGGAGAGGAGGAGTCAGTGATGGATGGGCAACAGCTGAGCGGGAAGAGGCAGCCTGTCTCTGCTGAGGAGGTCTGAAATCTTCCAGAAAAATTACCCTCAGACTGAACACGATTCCAGGGCATGAACATCCCCCCATGACTCAAAGCAGCTTCCTGGCACATTAGCATTGGAAGCTTGTTTGTGTTTGCGGGCAGAGCTGCAACTCTTCACCCTAATGACATGTCAGCCGCGACGAGAAGGGGATGTCACATTCCTAAAAACCATCAGTTTTTAAAAAGAAAAGAAGCCTTGTGTAACAGGCATTGCATTTCATAAAGTGTTTTGCTTCCCAGTGGATACTTGTGAGTGTCGGAAGGAACCCCTGCTTTCCCAGTAACATAAGGATTAGAATCAGCTAAGACTGTGTGTTAGTCAGCTATTATTTTTTGTGAGAAGAGGTGAGCTCTGTGAATGCCTTGCAGTTACTGCAGCTGTTGCAAAGCTTTGCAATTATTTATCTATTAGAAACAGTTTAGATTAATGGTGGCCCTTGCCTT